GCCCCCCCCCCCCCCCCGCGGCGGGAAGCCGCGGCGGGCGGGTGTGCAGGCAGGGGAGCAGCTAGAGGACCCCGTCTGTAGCGGTGGAGGCGGGTGTGGGATCTCAGCGTGTGAATAGCGGCAAGTGCAAAGCGAAGCGGGGGAGTTTGGGACGTGGGGGGCTTGGGAGCAAAACAACGCGATGTTGCAGCGCGGCACAACACGAAGCATAACCCCCTTTTCCGGAAAGCGCCCTGCCTGCCCAGGTGAAGAAAAACCGAAACCGAAACCTCGGCAGCTCCCTATGCCGTGGTATTTCGGCGGCAAAAAACGTGTGGGAAGTGCGTGGGGAGGGAGTACACTTCCACGTACCAGCGCTTATTTATGGGGGAACAGTGTGAAATACTGGTAGTTCTTCACGACTTGGTACAGAGGGGGAGGGCGGGCGTGAGAGCAAAGAGTTAATGGTTCACACATGGAAATTGAAAGCCGTGTGCTTAGAAAAGGAGAAGCAGGTGCTCCCCATGGCCATGCCCTCCTGATAGCAGGTAGCTGAGCACTGTAGCACCGTTTGCATCTCTCTGGAGGGATCCTGAGCGTGAGTGACCTGCGGACCCTAGATGGCGTAAGGTTTTAATGCATAAGGCGAGGAAAGCTAGTGTTGTCATGAATAAGCGGGAGGGTAACATCGTTCTCAGCTCTTAGGAAATCGCTGGCTCTGGGAGGGATTAACTCTGATATGTGAAGGCCAGTCACATGCCTTTAGAATTGGGGAAAAAAAAAAAAAAAAAAGGAAGAAAAAATGTATATAGAGGCTTGTGAGCTGCAAGTTCCTATGGGCTCCTGGGTGTCTGGATGTTTTGTCCCTGCTGTCCTCCCTGTCAGCTACTGGACGTGGTTAAACACAGTAAGTCCTGTCGAGAGCTGTGTGATGTGCCCTCCCTGTCAGCCACCTGCTTCACTTTCTTAGGGCAGGGGCATGTCAGCTGGCTCCTGGGTTTTCCTGTGGGACATGTTGGCTTGCTTTTGCAAGTAGGCCTTCCCCAGCACAGCCTAAGTGTCCTTTGTGTTTGGTCAGTGAAGGAGGGATGCCTGGGGGAGGAGGGCATGCAGCTTGCTTTCCTTTGGGAATGGTTCCGGCCCTTGGTGTCTTTTGGGAAGCTTAATCTCTTTCCTAAGTATGTAATAATCATCCTTATGGGGGAACCCCAGATTTCTGCAGTTGAAGTAGCCTTAAGTTTCCCCAGGTGGGGGTGGGAGAACTGTGGGAGCAGGGCTAGTGGTTGAGGTTTCAGCGCTGAGGGATAGCCTTGCTGTGTATTAGGGCACCGTTGGGGTCCCCATGAAATGTGCTGAGCCACAGCTTGCCAGTGTAATGAAGCTTTGCAGTGGCAACAGAGATACTGCATTTGGGCTGTGTTTGGTCCCCTTGCCTCTGTGTTATCCCTGCAGAGGCATGCAGTCCCCACTGTTGCACCCGTGCACCAGATGTTGTGCTCCTCCCTTCTCATGCCAGTGGGTTGTGTTGAGATGGAGCAAGGCTCAGCTTTGGTGTATGGGAATTTAGTTTTACTTGCAGAGGCCATAAGGAAGACTTTGCAAGGTGCTACCCAGGCATCAAGCCTGAGTTTGCGTTTGTTTGATATAGGTGTAGTCATTTACACCAAATCAGAGTGGGAGGAAGCGTACATATTTCCAAAGCAGTAGGATACACCTGAAGGAAAAGTGAGTTATCTTTGCTATGTATACACTGAGTGACGGAGCATCAGTGTGCCTAAAGGTGAAGTATGAAGTTCCCTTGATGAGGATTTCCATCTTTCTTTTCTACTTTCAGACTTTAAGGACAGATTTTTTTTTTTTAATCTTTTTTCTGCGTTCTTGATAGCAGACTTTTCCCTTGTATGCTACATTCAGAATAAGAAATTAAAAAAAAAAACCCCAAACAAAACTTCTGGCATTTCTTTTCCTGAGTTGTTTTGGAAGGTGTGGTCTCTGTTGGAAGGACATGGCCCAAGATTTTTCTAAATCCAGAGAGAAAAGAAAAACAATCTGTATTGCAGCTCCTAATCCTCAAAAATGCTAAATATTTGCCACCTGTTATCATCTTCAAAGAATTGCTGCAGCTCTGCAAATTCTGCAAGTCCTTTTTTGGTTTTGGTTGTGTGTTTTGTTCTTTTTTTTTTTTTCCTAGAGATGCAAACACAAATGTAGTGACATATGTATCCTTTTGTAATTCAAGGGGGGAAGAAAATAAACTCTCTAAAGCAATCTGATTGTTCTCATAACAAATGCACAAGAATGTAGATTGATGTTCCCAATGGCTGACAGGTGTCCCTTAATGGTTTGGGCCTCTCATGCTAGCTCCAATAGTTGTTTTTTTTTTCTTCTGTGTATGGGTCATTTCCCTCGGTTTCTTAGTTGGCACTCTGCTTAATCTTTCCTTGAGACAATAAACTTTGACAGATAAACCCAGTTTTGATCTTTTTCTCCAGGTTGGTTCTCTAAGTCTTCTCCCAGTTAATTAGTATTCTGTATGCCAGTTATTCTTCTGGTTTTCGGTTCACACTGGTAATTTTGTCCAAGGTAGCTTGTATTTGATTTTCAATGTGGTGTGAGACTCAGTACTTGCATATCTAATATGTAACCTTTATTAATTCATTTTATTAGTCTGTCCATCAGCAGTCTGGTAGAATTTTTTTCCACTTTGAAGACTTACCTTGCAACCTGGTTGACATTTTTTCATTTAGTGTGAAATCTGCTGAGATCCGTGTGTTGTAAGTGGATGTTTTTCAGCCTTTGGACATGCTTCAGCTCATGACAAACTCTGGGACCTGGGAGAGCTAGGGCTGTCAGAAGGTGGTACTTCATATTTGCTGTCATCCATATAGCCAGGATAATGAAAGTTATCAGAGGAATGCCACTGGTTGTTGTCCTGGAAAAAGTGTTTGCATCAAATGCATCTGCAGCTGGTGAGCAAGCAAATATGTGCTGCAGCCCTTTCGCCTGCCCGTAGGCTATTGCGATTGTTGAGCCACTAGTAAGCACAATATGCTGGCACGGGTGTGTTAAATCCAGGTAAAGATGAAGTGGCGTAATCCACAGGGATAAATTTCCGAAACTGGTGATGTTTTGGCAGCTGAGGATTTGCCCCTTTATTGCACATCTTAGTAACTTAAAAAATGTTAAGTCACACTGATCACCTTGGTATTCCCTGTGGGAAGGTAGCATCATTTTTATCAAGGCTCTGGAAATGCAGCATGTGAGTTTGTCTTTGCTCTGGCTAATGAGGTGCTTACAACACTGGTTTTGTGAGAGTTTTAAAACTGCTTCTAGTTCCTAAATAAACAGTTATTTTAGGGAAAAAAGGGCTGCTGACTTTTCACCTCTTCAGTTCCCAGCCTCCTCTGAAAATAAAACAAACAAAACAAAAATCCAGGAGCTGACAGAGACAGAAAAGAAAACGAAAAAAAAAAAAAGTGGAGCAGCTGATCAATTTGCTGCACAAAA